CTAACCTAATACGGCCTCCCTCAGAATTTCACGTGAATAATATCTGGACCCAGCTAAATAACTCCTAATATTATCATTTCCTCTGCCCCTGTCCCAGCAGTTCCCATGCTCAGCAAGGTGGCCAAGAGTCAGCGTTAACCTCCCAGAGTGATGCTAAATTGCTGAGCAAGTTCCTAATTATGACAAGTCAGATTTTTATTGCAGGCTTTTCCATGTGAAATGTTAGTAGTTTAAAATAGAAAAGGATCCCCTTCACGAAGGTAGCATATTGGGGCATCTACACACATGCTCCAGGATGAGGGGGGCACTTTAATTAGAGCAGCTCTGATTGCTGCTCTAATTAAAGGGCCCGCAGCGTCATGTGTGTTCAGTGCTCTGCACTTCAAGATCGTGGCAGAGGCACTTGAACTAAAGCTGGTTCAACAAGCTTTAGTTAAGGCATCTCTGCCACCATTTTGAAGCACGGGGACGCCGAACAGACGTGACATGGAGGCAACTGGAGCATGTTAATTAACACGCTCCAGCAAACTTGATTAATTGCGTCTGTTGCAATGTGCGCTAATTAACAGACTTCGGACCAAACATCTGGCACGTGTACAGGAGCCCTTGGTGTGCAACTCGCCAGCAGCTGACTTCTTCAAAAAAGCATTTACAGCCATCGAGGGTCAGCCAGATGTACCAGGTGTAAAAAGACGCTTAAACAGCAGGTAGTTTAACAGTGGCTATTGTTGTTGTTTTCACTGGATGTGGGGGAGCCAGATACCATCAACTATCAGGAATTTCCTGGTTTTCTGAAGCTTAACACTGATTAAACTGGGAAACAAAATAAAGGCAGAAGAGCAATGGTGTGGCTTTCCTAACAGTCTTTTAGCCCTTTTTGTCCTCTTGTCTAATTGGCAACATTAGGCAGGGCTGCTGCGCCATAAATCAAGGGCCGGCAAAATCGCAGCCGACTTCATTTCCCAGCAGCCCCTGAGGCAGCGGCTCCTTCTGGGTTAGGTTTAGGGTTAGATCCACTGCCCATGCACCCCTGGGACAAGCGTGGGTTTCACGGGCAGGGTGTGCAGGGAATGGACTGTGGCTCTGCCCCAGCTCCGGCCCTGGACTGTCACCGCCCCAAGATCACAGCCCCGGAGCAGCCCCAGACCAGTGGAGACCCCAGGATTGTGGGGCTCCAACAGCAATGGGCCAAGGCTGGGGCAGAGCCCCGGTTCTGCAGCCGTATGATCCCAGGGTCTCCACGTAGACCAGCCAAGAGCTACATGGGCAGGGGCTGCTAAGAAATGGAGTCCGACCACAGGCCAGATCTGCCATTTTACCCACCCTTGCCATAAACTCTGGCTGGTTTCAACACTGAACACCCCATTCTGCAGCTACATGTCACAAGCAATGAGCACTGAATGAGCATTAGAAGAGGAACATTCCCTTCTGTGACATTTACTTATCGCACACAGAGAACAATTTGGTCTTCTCAGACCTAGTTCCTGAAAGCTGCTCCATACTGCTAGAGTCCTGCAACGTGACCCCTTGACGTTGTTTTCTGCAGGTAGTTGTCTGGGGTTTGGCGGCCCGGTGCAAGACCTAAGCCCAGGACAAAGAAATGCCATTCAGGGCATTTTAAAAATGCCAAGAACTTTTCTTAAGTCCCTTTTCCAGCAATAATCTGCAAAATGAACAAGATAAGTAACAATAAACTCTCAAGGGAACAGCATACATTTCACATCATCGACTAACCACATATGATACAATTATTTAAAAATATATATATGGGCTCCATATGCTATCATATATCTCTAAGTCCACCCATTTACGTACACCAACACAAAAAGCTTGAGAAGCATAGATTTGGGGCCAAGTTCCACAGTCACTACACAAATCAGACACCTATTTCCTTCAACACAAGTTTTTGCCTGGATGAACACTGCTGGTCTGGGCCTTTTATGTTGGTTGGAAGCATCATGCATATTAATTCTTAAATCACTAAAAAAATAGAGTAATTAGAGAATCATCACCAAACACGGCAAAATTGTACTTCTTACAGTATACCACTGTTTTCGGTACATTATTCATTCATGTGAAATGAACAAAGGGAAGGAAGATCCGTTATCCAAGAGTCAAGTTTCTGTCCTAAAAATCCGGGTGAATTGAAATTGAAATTGAAGAAGGAGAATTGCACCATTATCTTCCTACTTGCAGGTACCTTCCCAGTGCTTTCCTTCTTTTACTAGTATCTTTCACAATATGTCAGGCTCCTAATCACTGTTCACTTAATTCAGAACAAAATACCTTCCACCGGGGAGATACCCAGTAGTGTAACTGAGGAGGGGTGACTGGAGCAGCGGCCCCAGGCACTGCTTTTATGGGGAGGTGGAAAAGCAGCCATTACCCCAGCAGTGGCTGACAATCTAGCCACAATCAGGATAGGAGCCAGCACTGCCCTGGGTGTAGAGCTGTGCTGCTATACCTCTGAAGATACCCACAGCACAGAAATACTGAGCCAAATCCTGAACTCAATTGCTCGCTCTTTTCTCAGAAAGAATGACTGAATCCTATTAAGGGCTTCAGGATCATTCCCATTATTATAAAGCTCAATGCATAACGAGAGGCATTGTTTTCTAGTGGGCTAGACAAGGGCTGGGCCACCCAGCTGTCACACAGACTCACCCCTTGGCCTCACGCAATTCATCTACTTGACTCTTGCCTTGGTTTCTTCAGCTCTAATAAGAGGGCATGACAAGCTGTGTATCGGTAAGATTAGTTGATTGGTGTTTGCTGGATACTGTCAGGACGACCAACGTTATGCATGTTCTAATGATGCTACCTGCTGTTACATAACACTTTTCACCCTAGATCTCAAAGTATCCTGTAGACAGTAGCTGACCAATGTCATATCCATTTCACAGCTGGACAAACCAAGGCCCAGACATTCAATCCAATTTAATTCAATCCAATTTAATCTCATTTAGACCAGCCATCTATAGCAAAAATGGGACTAGAACTCAGACCCCTTCCATTCCCATCCTGACCTCCTAGTCACTGGATTACATTGCACTTTTCATCATCAAAGCCCTTTAAACATCATTTTAGGAAACACATCAAAGACACACGTTTCTTTTATATGCAAAATCAAGGCAACTCATACCATGCACTCAGACATCCATCAATTTGCACTCACTATGCTTAGAATTTGATTCTTATTATTTACAAAGAAATGCTCACTAAAAAGTAATACACCTCCAGTGCCTACAGCCTGGCAGCAAGAAACACAGGACCCCCAAATACAGGCATCTTGCCTGATTCCAGCTATTCTTCTCCTGTGACTTCTGAAATCTATAATCTATTACTCTCATGTCACCAGACTGTGACCTTAAATATCATTGCATTTCCTATTCCAAAGACAGAGAACCATAGTAGTATCACCATCTGGTTACTGCTAGTCAATAGTGACTTTTTAAATAATATCTGCGGTATTTCACTTCCTTTTAATCCTTGTTTTGTGTGTAGGGTAAGCCATTTTGATAGCAGCGGGGATGGGAAAGGGGCTTCGAAACAGAATGCCTTCAAGCTGAAAGGGAGGCAGACAACATCTTGTGAGCTTTTTAGATCTCTGTAAACTAAAAACCCTAAACTCTGGCTTAGACTTCAACTTTATCCCAAAACTAATCATCACATATAATGCACGTACATTTACACAGCACTCCACAGAATCAAAGGTAAACTGAGCTGTAAAGGACCTCAGAGACCCTCTCGTCCAACCCCCAGGGAGGGTCATCTCTGTCTAAGCCACCCTAGACAAACAAACATTCATATAACCTGCATTTAAAAACTCCCAATTCATACACCAATTAAGACATTTTCCTTGATAAAAGCCCTTGAAATCTAAGTTAGACAAGACAAAACACTGGACAGCACATCAAGCATGGAAAGACGTGAAGATGATGAAGAGAGAGAATTGTCGGGGAAGAGGGCAAGACTGCCCCAGCTGAAGGAGGCATGAAGCAGAGGAAGTTATGAAGATGCAGGCAGCCACAGGAAATGCATGGGAAGAGGATGATGGAGTAGAAGAAATGAAAGCAAAGAGACAAGATCATGTAGAGCTGCGTAGGTGACTGGATGTGATACAGTAAGAGCTGGGGAACCATAGTGGGGTCTTAGGGAGAAGGTCAATAGGATCAGAAGCAAGACCAAGAAAGACGTTAGCAGCACTTTTGTTTATCCAGGCCAAAGGGGAAAAGTCAGGGAAAATAGACAGAAGCATGTTGCACTAGCCAGGGTGAGCAAGAACCAGCAAGTATTAATGGCAGGGTTGCTGATATTCATGGAGCAAAATTTACAGGATTTGATGAGCCTGAATAAAAGGAAACAGAGTGAAAAACAACCCAATGATTGTGAGCCCAATAGACAGGAAGGACAGTAGATGTGTCTATGGAATTAGGGCCAAAAACTGCTACTACTGAAATCAATAGAGTTGGTTTCTGACATCAGCTGGGTCATTAGAAGTGGACACTGGGATGACAGGAGTTGAGAAGGCCTAGAAATTAAGTTGATGGCACCTGTAGAAATAGGATAAACAGCTGGAAGGAGACAAGTTGATGCGTTAAAGTCAGACAACCAGAAGAAAGCTCTCAAATAAAGGAATAAGGGAAAGAGTGGTGGGATAGGTTGGGGAAAGGACAGAACTTGTCAGACCTGGGTAAGTGCTGTTTTTGAGGAAGATGGCTAGGTAAACCTTTTCTGAATCCAACCTCCACACACTCGGCCTGTCTCTAAAAGGAGGCCTCTTCCATGTAGACCAGAAAAGGTGTAGCTAAATCAGTATGGCAACAGTTTACAAAGATAGGGTGCCTGCAAAAAATATTAAACTATTCAGCTATAAGTTTTGATAGTCCTGGGGAAAGGCATGATCCCAGGCGCTATCCTCTACCCTTAACAGACCCATAATCACGATACAAAAGTATACTCTGCCAGAGGATGCTAACATTTGCTTCAGGTTAAAGGCTTGTCTGCACTTCAAAATGTTGCCTTTTCAATTACAACAGCATAGTAAAAGCAGCAAACTCAATCTTAGTGTGGACACGATTATGCCAGTATAAGAATACAAATACCAGTATCGTTTATACCAGTTTCTGAACCAAAATAAATATAATTATTAATATATTATATAGTATAACATATTAATATTATTCTAAATATGATGATACACAATGCTTTTGTAACCAGGAAAATCGCATCTACATTACAGCTTTTACCACATTAACTATGGAAGCTAAACAATCCCCCTGACACACTCACACTGGTTAATCTTCTAAGTCTAAACTAGCCTTAAATAGGATAACAATTGTAAGGATGCCCTCAGCATAAAGCAGTGTCTAATTAAGACACCTGAG